TTTTTAAAAAATATATATTTTTATTGATTTCTGAGAGGAAGAGAGAGAGAGAAACATCAATTATGAGAGAGAATCATTTATCGGCTGCCTCCCGCATGCCCCACACTGGGGATCGATCGAGTATGTGCCCTGACTGGGAATCGAACTGTGACCTCCTGGCTCAACGGGCAAGATTAAATGTTAAAAATCCTCTCCCTACATATTTAACTAAAGTACTTCCTTTACCTCTACTCTTGAACATTTCTTCTGCATCTGCCTCTGACCACGTGCTATGATGGGTGGGACGCAGTCTCTGTGCTCAGGGCGCACACAGCATGTGGTAGAGACAGGTTGGCAGCGACTGACAATACGGGGTGACACCTGCATTGCTACAAATGCAGCAAGACGGTTCTCCATACTTCCGTGGCGGGAAGCGCAGTGGAGCTGGCTGGAGGATGTGATGTTGATCTTGTGTTTTCAGAGATTGTGCCTGAGCCTGCTGCGTGCCCCATGAAGGGCAATGAAGAATATGGTCTGTGCCTTCCCGGGACTCATCTGTCCCCACACCAGCACTGACCTGGCACTGCTGTTTAAAGGGCACTGTGCCTGCAGACCCGGAGGATGACGGCCACGCCTGGTATCTCAGTGGGACGCCGATGGACCGGAGTGACCTTGGGCAGGTCACCTGGCCCTGTGGGTTTCCTCTCTTCCTCTGAGAAAGCAGGGGCTGTTGGGGCAGATGACAGAGCTCACAGGTGTTGTGACTAGGGATCCGTGACAATCTGGAACAGACCTGTGCTCAGCAAACTGGCCCGGACTGTCCCCACCCCACGCCATGGCGCCCACCCCACCCTCTCGTCCTTGGCCCCCACGACACACATCAACCGGAACGCTCGGGCCTCCCCACCTCCCTGAGCAACCTGCCTGCTGAAACCTGGGAAGACCTGGTCTCAGTTACGTCCTTAGGCAACAGCCCCGCCCGCCCCCACGCTGCATCGCTGGTGCTTTAAGAAACACAATATTGCCAGAATGGATTATGCAGCAAATGATTCCCGGGAACTGAACGGACCAGTCTGGTGAGCAGCCCCGAGCACCTTCTATAAGGCCCTGGCCTCGCCCTCCTGCTCCCCCGTCCAAGGAAGGATGGCAAGCGGGAGTCAGGTTAGGTCACGGGACGAACCAGCTGAAGCTGCCTGGGACCGCTCGAGCGTGTCCATCCCTGGCCCCGCGCACTGGGCCTTAATAACTCAATAATAACCGGCTTCTAGAGCACACAAAGGCTTTTGGAAAGCTGGACATAAAGGCCACTTTGTCCTGCTCCTGCCGTTCCAGCAGACATCCATAGGTGTTCCCACACAGGCTGGCCGCTGGGCTGCTGCCTCCCCCTCCCCGCGCACTGAGGGGAGCTACAGATGGCTGAGAAGGAGAGCCACGGCCTGAAAATCGACTCTGAGGAGAAAGCAGAAGAGACATGGCCGTCCTGGGAAGCTGGGTGTGCTTTCTGCCAGGCCCTTCTCTTCTCCAGACTGCCGGCCCCTGCAGGGAGCCGCATCCACTCCATCAAAAAGTCATCGCGGGCCCAGCGTGAGCCTTAAAGCAGTCAGCGTGGGCGGCGGGGACAAAGCCATTTCTCCAGGAGCTCTGCATTGGGCTGCGGCCAC